GACTGTTCGCTCATTGCCCTGTAGTAAAATATCGGTAACAACAGTCCAATCCGTCTCTGTCCACAACCCCTGCTTTCTGACGTGAATTAATGGGTTACGTAATTAAAGTAGTAAACAGCAGGTGTGTCAGATCGGCGCGACGCTGAAATGCATATAAAAAGCTTTTATTATGACCTGATGAAGTGTTAAATGCCCCTTAAGTATTAAAATAAAATTGCATTTTTTTTTCTTTAGTTATCTGCAACCAGTCTTTAAAAAGTTTAAACTTTCACAACGTGTTTCTCCTTCGAGAAACTTCTTTTACAGTAGACCTTAACGTGTCTTTTTTGTTAAATAATAGAGGCCGTTTTGAGTCTCCTTCTGTTGCCACTTTTGGGTAAAACTGCTACCAGGGGATTGTGGTGGTCTGCAATACTATTCTTATAGCGCTCAGCAATTAATTAAAAGGTAAAATTGTAACATCACTTGTATTACGTACGTATATAAAAAACTGTTTTTACGCCTTTAAAGGCGTTATTTTGGGATTACTTGAGTCCGGATTATAAGTAATGTATTCACACATATCATGAATTTTAAAGCAGTGTAACCAAAACTTAATACATGAAACTTAGTAAGTTGTAAAATGTACGTATTAAAGCTAATCAAACTGTCTTAATATTTAATTCCTAAACAGTTTTTTATTTCATTTCGAATAATCCGCATGTAGGAAGGACTCTACCGAGATTCATTTTGATTACGGACGGGATTAGGGCCTAAGAGCCGTGGGAGTGAACAGACGGAGTTGCCAGTAAAGCGACGATTAGACGACCCTTCTAAATTATATTGCGTATAGGATGATTACACTCCTAACAATTAATTTGCATGTCTACTGACTACATGTGTTAACCCTTATTTAAAAACGATTATTGTTTCATACTGTACATTTTATTAAAATCTACTTATTGGTTAGATTTTAATTGATACAAATTAAATTATAACTAAGCAATTAATCCGAAATGTAAAAAAAATCTATTGCTCGCGACTTCTTTCAAGTCGAATTTAAAAATAGTAAAAAAGTAGCCTGGGTGGAAAGTATTGAGGAAAGCTTAAGTCCAACGTTGCTTAAAGGCTGATGATGATGATGATGATGATGATGATGATGATAGCCTATATTACCCAATTGTAACGTAGCTTTTTAATGTTAAAAGTATTTTTGAAATCGGCCCAATAGTAATAATAATAAAGGAATAGATTTATGGTACATTGTTCCTTGTTACTGTCGTTTTCATGTACTTATAAATAAATATAAAAGTTTGAAAAGCCAAAATACAAAATTAAACGTGACTTTTTTGAAATCCAGGTTTATTTATGTAGCTTTGGTGTGCGCCGCTAGGACAAACTGCAAATTTACGTGACAAGCAGAAGTGTAAATAAACAGGACGTGCTCTTGCATACACTGACTTCATGAGAACAGCGTTACGAGCGTAGGGTACATTACAGTCTACTGTACCAATGACCCTAATTTCGTGTTCTATTTGCTTAGTTTGATATTTTAAGCAGGATTCATTCATAACTAAAATTTTCATAAAATATCAGGATGAATGTAATCTACCGTCGATACTATGGCAAATATTTTCACTTTGATATACTGTGCTCACTATACTGAACAATAAATAAATATAATGATATACATAACATTGGTATTTCGCTAATACCTATGCATTTTCACCGGAAATGAGGGCGTTAACATGAACTACTCGTACATTTTGAATGCACTATATAACTTTGTAAATGTATTACACCATTACTAGCTATCGTCCGTGACTACGTCCGCGTGGAATATAAAAAAACAAAAGTGAATAGCCTATGTGTTCTTCCAGACTATGTTCTACATCTATGCCAAATTTAATATAAATCCGTTCAGCCGTTTAGTCTACAAACTAACAAACACCCATCCATCCTTCTAAACTTTCGCATTTGTAATATTAATAATATTAGTAAGATAAGATTATATCATGTTAAACAATGATATTATTTTGTAAATGAAAAACAAAGAAGTTAAGATACTCTATCAGGTAATTTTTTTAGTGACATAACCACCAAAAAGTTTCTACTCACACATGAAAAAATCCAGTATAAAAATACCCGTGGAAAATTATTTGAAAAGAAAAAGGTTTCTTTTTAACAATACCAACAATAGTGTGCCAGTTTTTCGCCGCGTATTTTTTGTTAGAGTCGAAAATTTAGTGCCACCACTTTTAAACTTGACCTGTTACAAAAGACAGAGAAATGAAAAGAGTTGCAATTTTTATCCATGTTATTGTAAAATGTAAACATGATTAGGGTGTTTACATCCTTAAAAGTATTTATTTGGGATTTACGTGTGTTTTTATCGTAAAGCATAAAAACAATACTTCTAATACTACCGTAGACTTAAAAAATAATTACTTATTTACTTAACATAAACTGTTCAATGTAGAAATCAACCGTTTATATAAAAGATTTTAATAGAAAAGTTGAAAAAAACTACGTATGTTAACATAAAAAGCGTTGAAAAAAGTTACTCTACAGTTTTCTTTGTGCCATTATCCCGTATTCCCACATTCGTTCCCCAGCCGGATTACATGACGCCCGCCGGCATTTTGCATTATCTCCTCTTAGATTTCTCTTTAAAAAAACAAGGAAAGGAAACCCGTATTTTACTAATTCTACATTCTTTAACACCGCCCTACTTAGCACGCTTTAGCGATTTATTTTTGCACTTTAAGCTTAGTTCTCAGTTCTTACCCCGAGGATTACTTGGGTTAGAATTTTTTTAAATTTAAATGCATACTCCTGAATATAAGTAATTAATTGTAAGTCCATACATTCAAATTGTTTTGTATTTTAAATAATGCCAGTAATATATTTTTTACAAACTTTAAAAGCATTTATAAAAATTAAAATAATTTACAGCATTGGTGTTTCTTTCCTTTATCAAAAAGATGTTCAATTCTTAGGACAATTATTTTTTTCTTTTCTCAACCACTGTAAAACCAAAGACGTTTTCGTGACCCAGTTTACATTCCCACTTCACACCTTCTCCGTCGTTTATATGTTTTAGTATGAAAGAGGCAAGATATTTTTTTGCAACTTAAAATCAGGTCATGGTTTTAAATTTAGGCTTTTCAATGACAAAATTGTGATATTTATTTTAGTGAAATATTTGAAGTAAAGCGTCTAAAGGTATCAAAAGAAAAATATCTTCAGTGTCATGAAAAAATTTATAATCTACTGGCCGATACAATGTTTTTTCTAATGAGGGTAAAAAATTGTTAAGATAGTTTATTAATTCATCACCACACAATTAACCTCACTTAATTAAAACTTAAAAAAACCTTATCTTGGGTTAACGCATACTCGTAGCAGATAAATATTATTTTTATACATAATAGACATTAAGTGTGGATCTTACTGCTTTTATAACATAATACCATAAAATATTATAAATGCGAAAGTTTAGATGGATGGATGGATGGATGGATGTTTGTTAGAGTTTGTAGCCTAAACGGCTAAACGGATCTCGATGAAATTTGTTATCGGTATAGAGCATGGAACACGTAGGGTTACTTATGTTTTTTTTTTAATTCTACGCGTACGGAGTTGCGGGTGAAAGCTAGTATATACAAATGTAAGTAATATCGCCTTACACAGAGATGACTTATATTAATTTCCACTTTGAGTTCATTTAAGTGAACGTGTATTGAGGCGAACTACACTTAGAAGCCATTAGCTGAATATTGCCTAATTAGGTCACATGCAAGTAACTATCATAGTTGTGTTTCACAAAGTGCACGCGAGCTCACTTTAACCTTAAAAGGTACTCAACGAGATATTACACATAAATGCTCTGTTTGAATCAATTAACATATATTTAATGCGCTATAAAATGTAATCGTCTTATTAACATCACGTATTTTTATTCACCAAAAAATATTACGTAACCAATTCTATTATTCGGGGTATGTTCTGTATAACAAACAAAATACAAATACATAACTACTTTTATGAAATTTAACAATAACATCTAAATAAATGAAATCTATTGGCAATTGTACTGAAAAACTAAAATGCAAAAAGTTAAAACACTGCCCTCTATCGGTAGCGTTGCGAAATATGTTAAAAGCGTATTCCTACTGGCAAACACCAAAACTATTACTAACATTTTAACTTTATTTTATTACTTTACTGAACTTTAGACTTTCATACATGATAGTAAACATTACGCGATATTAAAAATTTCCTGATTCTTATCTGGTCTGCGTTTTATCGGGGTTTTTTTGTATGCTATAAAAATTGTTGTCTTAGAAACAATTCATATATACAACTATCTTATCTTAAAGTAGCTTATTGCCTAGATAATTGATACTATGTACATAAAAGATTGTTTTTCAATCGTTTTAAATCAACGCAAAAGATAATGTAGATACAGTAGAACCTCGATAAGTTAAAGTCCAAGGGAAACACAAAATATTTTAAGTTATAGAGGTTTTAAGTTATCAAGGGTATTTGTTGTAGAGGTTTTGGAAGTAAGTTGTAGAGGTTGGGGAAGGGAATATATTATTTTTTAAAGTTATAGAGGTTTTTAAGTTACCGTGGTTTGAGTTATCATGACCGTTATTAACTGAAACCATTTTTGTTCATAGACTAAGTCTTACATACAAGATTTGTAATAAAAAGTTTTAATTTGATTTAATCTTGATTTTAGCAAGAAATGTAATGTTAAAGTCTATTCATTGTTTAAATAATTTTAACAAATATTTTCAATAAAACCAATAACAGAAAAATTACTAAAGATAAATGACATAATAGCCTATTTCTATTATTCAGGAATGTGCGTAATTGTAGAGTTTTTTTTTTTATATTTACCTCTTAATCATTTTTTAGATAAATTTAATGGATCGTTTATTTTTAATCATATTGAATATCCGTTATCGTTATTAAATGATAAATAAAAAAAAATACATTGCACGTCATTTAGTTTATATTTTAGTTCAAGGCACTTGTCGCGTCATCCAAAATGAATTCCTTTATATTTTTTGTAATAGCAAATTTTATTGCAGTAAATTGTCATATATTGAGCGCTGATGTTGAATCGAACGGTGTATACAATTACCTCGCAACTGTAGGAGTCGAAGAAGCAGAGAGAATCAGAAAACTTGAGAATGAATTGTCCAGTCCTGTGCAAAGAATCGTCGGTGGATCATCCACCGTAAGCAGCGCTGTTCCTTACCAGGTAAAGCCTGTATTTCTAAATATTGTAAAATCATGATTTTTTAATAATAAAAGGTTACAAACGAGCAAGCGACCACCTGAATCCACCAAAATGGAAAGCGACCGCTGCCCATAAACATCCGCAATTGCAGATGCGTTGCCTACCCTTGATTGACGGAAGAGGAGATGCACATAAAGAGGGCATTTCCTCTCCCTAAGCGTGTCCTCCATCGTTAAATCCACTTTTTCTTCCTATGCTTTCCTCTTAAAACGATGGAAAGGGAAAGGGACTAAAATTAGGCTTCCGGCCCCACACATTAGACGAAACGCGGAATTGCTTCCACTTTACGCCTGTTTTCTGTGTGGTCGTGGTATTACACCGGGCGATCCGGTCCATTCGTGTTAATATGTTAAAGCGGACTCTACCACTGATAAAATAATGTGGTTAAATGGCAGTCAAGAAGTATTTATTTTCTCGTATTTATGTCCATAACAAAAGCTATAATAGATTTAATATTGTTATAACACGAAAGAAAAACCCCAGATTTCGGGAAGATGATGTATTTGCGTTGCTGATAACTATAATCGCATTTTTTTGTCTGTCTATCTATCCCCAAGTCGCGGTTGTTCCGGGTAAATTCCGTAACGGCTGGACCGATTTCGACCAGACTTTCACTGAAGGGTAGCTGACATAGACGGGCATATTATAGGCTACTTTTTATCTTAATATTCCGTGGACGAAGTCGCGGGCAACAGATAGTATAAAAATTTACCTACCGTGTGAAACTGGGCTGAGAAATTAGAGAAATATAATTTATAAAATAAGTAAATACTTGTGCATTATACATTATTATAAACATCACCAACGTATTAATTTACATTCCAGGTATGCATGACAACAATAGAGTTCCGGCTTCATTATCATTGATTATGATACTCTGATAATTATTTAAATTTCGTACAAAAGTGTTCTACAGCTGAGTTTTGCATATCTAAAAATTCGATATTGAGATATGATATATTTAAATATATTTAGATAGACTTTCAGAAAGTAAATTTTTCATAACTTAGCTTAAATAACATTTTTCAAAGAAGATTGATAACAACGCCATCTATTAGAAGAATGAAATAATATTATTTCACATGAGAGCTTTCATTTTAAAGCTACAAATTATTTAATACCATCTTTCGCTCCTGACTCTGTATGCGCGGAATTAAAAATACTTAGCAAGGCTATGTGTTTCAGACAATGTTCTACATCTGTACTTTATCAAAATACATAAATCAGTTTCATAAATAGCATATCATTAACAGACATCCGTAACTTTTGCATTTATAATATGAGTATGATTTAATTTCCACAGGCTGGACTAATTATCACATTGCGAGTGGCCAGGCAAGCGGTGTGCGGGGGTGTCATAATCGCTGACAACAGGATCCTAACCGGGGCCCATTGCAACAACGATGGAGTTAGCATCGCACAGTCCATCCTTGTGGTGGTTGGATCTAATCTTCTCTTCTCCGGCGGCACTAGAGTACAAATGCAGAGCGTTGTCATGCATCCGGGGTACAACCCTCGGATCATTGCAAATGATCTTGCTGTTCTAAGAATACCAAGAATTTCTTATACATGTAAGTATTTAAACAAATGTAACGTAAACATTACCATTTTCCTCCCTTTTACTGCCCATAATACAGCAAATACAATGAAGTATTTGATGTATTATCGGCAGCTGTACCTTAGCCTAATATATAAAAAATACTTAAACTTTCAATTATGGTTGTACATTCTTGTGTTTTTTTTAATTTTTCAGTTAATATTCAAGCAGTCAGTCTACCTTCCGGCAGTGATTTGAATCAAAACTTCGTAGGAACAACAGCTAGGGCATCTGGATATGGCATCACAAGAGACGGTAAGTGTCAAACTATTTGTTTCTATTATTTTTTTTTAAATAGTAAGTCCAATGGTCTTTTGTTTTCATTAGGTAAAATTTCTTCTTGTACCAGCCGTTACTTTTAATGCAAATGAGAATTTTTAATTTGTATAATTTAATGAAGAGTGCTGATTTTTTTAATTACGTAATTTTTTCTCAAACAGAAAAAACATTTGAATTATTTCATAACGTGTAATTGACTATCTTGTTGACAGGTGCGAACATTGGCTCTCTACAATCACTGAACGTGGTCAATCTCCGTGTAATCACGAACAACGAATGTACATCTGCTTTCGGCAACTTTATACAAAACCATCACTTGTGTACAAGCGGCTCCGGCGGTGTCGGTATTTGCGGCGGCGATACAGGCGGACCTCTCGTCGTAACCAGTGTTTGGAGAGACGTGCTTGTTAGTTTACAATAGTACTAAGTAACCATTGCGTATTTTAACGTAGAATTTTTTTTTTTTCGACAATCGCGAACAGTTGTGCGATAATTTAGTCAAAGGTGTGTGTCCGCTTTATCGCAGTGGTATCAATAACAGGAAAATTGTCGCATATTGATTTCACATTTAAAATGTTATCGTCTAATGTTACAGATTGGCGTCGGATCCTTCACTTCGAGCCGAGGTTGTCAAGCTGGTGCCCCATCCGGCTTCACAAGAGTCACTTCTTTCGTCCCTTGGATTATATCTGTATAATATTACGAATCGACTTTATACTGTCAACTGCATAAACTGCTTCACAGAATTATAACATTTTTCATAGAAATATATTGCATTGATAATAGTAGCTAGTGTTTAATTCAATTTTTTTTTGGATAGCAAATTATCCCATTTACCGGAGACTTCAATATTTTTAATACTACGTATTCAAAATCCAATAATGGTAATGCAGTATTGGATTATTATTTTATTTACTATTAACTAATAAAGTTAATACTAAAGAAGAAAATATCTATTTAACACTCTACTAAAATAAAAAGTAACAGTGGTAGAGTTTGCTTTAACATCTTCCAACGAATGAGACGGCGCTTACGTTGCAATATGAAGACACAGAAAAAAGCGTGAAGTGGAAGCAATTCCGCGTATCGTCGGATGACTGCGCGTATAAGAGGCCTAGTTTTAGCACACTTTTATTTACTACATTATTATTATAAGCATGGATAGTAAAGGAAAGTGGATTAGACGGAGCATGGGACGCTTAAAAGGAAATATTTTCTTTATTTGCGTACCTTCCTCTGTCAGTGAATGTTAGGGAACGCATCTGCAATTGCGGACTTTTATGGGCATCCGTCGCTTCGCAGTTTTGGCGAATTCAGGCTTCTAACTCGTTTGTCATAGAAAGTCTAATTCGGTAATAACCAATAGAACAAAATCTTATCACGTATTAAAACTTAATTCTAGTTATTTCCAGAATCTGGTTATCTATTATGTTCATCACTCTGATTAAAACTGGCGCCACGTAATTCAATTTTGACGTAAAATTATCAATTCCTTGCATATATATGCAGCATCTATTTTTTCAATCACTGCTTAGTAAGATAAAGATTTTTTTTTTTAAATTGCAAAAAACCAGCGCTTGACCACTATCCCACGTAGACCAAGGTGAAGATGTGGTCGAAGGATGGTATGCGCTAGTTTAGTAAGTACCGATTCACCCTGCTCTTAAAGGCACCCACGTTATAACTTGACGGGAACACTGACGCCGGCAACTTATTTCACTCCTTTGCTGTGCGCACGAGAAACGATGTCTCGAATCGATTTATTAGATAAAAAAGTAATTGATGTGTACCTTAAATATTAACTATTCGAAGAATAAATGGGATGACAAGTGAAAACTAAATTAGTCAGATTGTTTAGTGCAGACAGATAAATAAGTCTCATTAAAATAAAAACAGTGAAAATGCGTAAGATGTAAGCGTAAGAGTATTGCTCTACTTATCAACATAAATATAAATAGTTATTTATACCACGCTACATAACTAATCACATAGAAGAAATCGATATAAAGAGTAATTCAGAACAGTATTCTTTCATTCAATTATTTTCGTCCATCCTCATGTCGATTTTACTTCTTTTCCTCCCACCCTTATACCCCCAGGAAATGGATTTTCCCTTTCAGTGTATTCTTCCCTCAATGCATTAAAGCATCCTAGTAACTGATCGCATTTTGCTCTGCCACTTTAGGCTAAATTTACGTCACATTCTGGACTCATATACTAACATTCCGAGGAAATTTTAGGAAACCGAAAATACACTAAAATGGAGAGCTTCACAACAGTGTTGTAAGCAAAAGTGTCGAGCATGATTTTCTTTATATAAGATCTAAATTACTTCTTACCGCAGCACCGAAATGCCCTGGTATAGAAACTCCTTATATCATATCTATGACAGGTATCCACATTTCTGTTGTGCACAATTTTAATAAAAGGAGGCAAACGGACGGCGAAAACACCGAGGGAGTCAACGACGGCCATGGACATCCGCAATACCAGAGTAACTACAGATGCGTTGCCGGCCTTTGAGGAAACGATAGGCTCGCTTCTTGAAGGACCCTAAGTCGTATTGGTTTGGAAATACCGCCGAGGACGGACCGTTCCACAACACGGCTATGCGGGGCAGAAAGATTCGCGAAAACGGCACGGTTGTGGAATGCCAGCCATCGAGATGGTGAAGATAGTACCTGGCAGTTTATAGTGTCGTCCGATGACGAAACTCGGCAATAGGAATCGTTCAAAACAACTCCTCGGAACACTCCCCGTGGTAAATGCGGTAAAAAATTCAGAGGGAACTGACGTCCCTTAGTAAGACCAGAGGATCTAGCCGATCGGTAAGAGATCGGTCGTTGACGATTCGAGTCGCTCTCCGTTGTATGCGCAGCAAATGAAAGAAGAATTTATGACAACAAACAATATTGTATGAATACAAAGAAAATAAAATTTAAATATTCTGTATTTTTCTGTTACGTAGTGATGCTATTAGAGTAACGTTTGTGGAATAAAACAAAACCCTTGTAAACAGTGATAGTCGATTTTATAATTCTCGCCCCCCTCTTGATTATTAGTTATCATTAATAATATTCTTATTACCAATCGATAAACAATCTGTATTGTGGTATTACCCAAATAGATCCATAATCGAACAAGATAAATTTAATAGATAGTTAAATTTTAATCCTTCCTTGTATCTATTATCTTCAAACATGAGGAGTATAAATTGAGGATTTTTTTGGGGGCTTCCTATTCACAACTGTGTTCAGTCTTTTACCATTTGTCAACTTCGCTTCTTCGAAAATGTATTCTATTGTAACTTTTTTATAAGCAGCTTTGGTTGCAGTAAATTGTAATGTATTGGTTGCTGAAACAGAAGCAAACGGTGTCTACAACTATCTTGGCACGATAGGAATCGAAGAAGCAGAAAGAATTAAACAGCTGGAATATAATTTGCCTGGTTCCGTTCAAAGAATTGTTGGCGGATTTGATGTGGTCAGCGCAGTGGTACCTTACCAGGTAAAAAAACTGTTACAAAGTTACATGTAAAAACCAACAAGGTTGAAATGATATTATCTATGTATTATTGAATTTAAATGTAATGTTATTTGCAGGCTGGACTAATCATAGACTTAAGTCTTGAAAGACAAGCAATCTGCGGAGGTGTGATCATTGCCTTCAACAGGATACTAACAGCCGCCCACTGTAACGATGACGGTGTTAACACCGCCGAGTCTATCACGGTAGTCGTAGGATCGGAATACATCTTCATCGGTGGTGTCAGAGAAACTGTGCTCAGTGCTGTCATGCATCCAGAATACGATCCTAAAACCATTGCTAATGATGTAGCCGTTCTGCGCATACCAGGATTACGTTTTGTTTGTAAGTTCTGCTGAACTTCGATATTTCAGAAACAATTCCAAAAACAAAGATAAGCAAATGATAGCTCACTGTTAAATAGATTGTAAATTAACAATAAACCATGTAGCCATGTACCTTATATTAGTTTTTTTTTTTCAGATAACATTCAACCAGTCAGTCTACCCACCGGCAATGAACTAAACCAAACTTACGAAGGTGTGTACGGTCGCGCCTCTGGATTTGGTATCAGAAGAGATGGTATGTAAATTAAAATTTGTTTTTTTTTTTAAATTGCATAGAAAATGATATATTAATATGCTTAATAAGTTTTATTAGGACAGTAATCCCTTTGTTCCAAAAATTCTTTCAATTGTTTACTGTATCCAATGTACACCTCATTTAATCTTACTGCTTTCCCAACAGGCGGAAGTATGCAATTGTATCAATCCCTACACATGGCCATACTTCGAGTTATCTCTAATGCTGAATGTAGATCAGTGTATGGCGATGTAGTACAGGACAGTCATGTCTGCACGAGCGGTGCTGGCAGAATAGGCATCTGCAAAGGAGACACAGGCGGACCTCTTGTCGTGAGCAGCACTTGGAGAAACATCCTTGTTAATACAATATAATCTATTTAATTTTATATACTCAAAGCACTATTAACTATTAAAGGGTACTCTGTACCTATAAACTGTGGTATCAAATATCTAAAAGTGCCATAGGCGATACATATGGTGAAACTCATTGATGCTGATAGTAAAGTAGACCAAAATTCATCAACAAACTGCAATAGCATTAGTAGCAGGAGCTGTTATTTTCAATGACTGCAATAGATTTTCTCGTGGTAACCATAAAATTTAAAACTGCTTTGAATAAATAGGATCTCAACTGTTATTTTCCAGATTGGCATCGGATCCTTTACTTCGAGTCGAGGCTGTCAAGCCGGTGCCCCCTCCGGCTTCACAAGAATCACTTCTTTCGTTCCTTGGATTATGTCTGTTTAAATTCACTTGATTTTTAATCATGATACATGTGTTATGGCAATGAAATTATTATTGTTTTTGAAATAAATTGCATTTTTGAAAAAAACCTTTTTTTATTACACCCCAATTAAAAAAACATTTATAATTCTGCTTTCCGCGCGAGAGAGAAAGTAGTTACCTCAAATATTTAAAAACACTTTACTGCTGCCTAGTCCGCGTCATAATTTTTGGGGTTTTTCTTGTTGTCGTACGGTTATTAAAAATCTATACTAATATTATAAAGAGGATAGATTTGTATTTTTGTATGTTTTTAAATAATTCAATATTGGGCTTATTTGAAAAATTCTTTAATCAATAAAGAACAACGTTATCACTGAGTAAGATAGCCTACATTTGTTTCAATTTTTATTTCTGCGCAGACAAAGACGCGGGCCACAGCTACTCAGATGTAAAGGTGTCTTCTATTTCTATGTTTTTATCACTATCTACTTTAGCGAGATAGCTGTACTACGATAAAATTTACAGTTGATATCAATTGAAATACTCGTCAATTCCAGTTTTCCTTTCAATATTTTTGTAAATTCTATTTTAATAAATAATAGGAAAACCACAATTATCACGGTTAAAAGTTAGTAGTACTTTGGTAGATACATCAGTAGAAAACCTCTAGAAAGATATATCCATTTTAAAATTGCAGCTCTACTAACTACAAAGAAACAGGCAGAAGTTGCTTATTTTTTTTTTTACAAATATGTTTGTTGATGAATGAAACACAAAATTGATATAGGAAAAAGAGAGACGTTCCTTTTTCAATTTTTTTTTATCAGTTATTAATTAATCGTTACACATTCTTAATCTTCCAAGTATCTTTTGTTAGATAATTTTATTATAATCTTTACTAATATCATCGTAATCATTTCAAAGATAAAATAAAGCAAAACCATTCTGAATATTACATTTGCGTTCTTATAGTCCTCTAGTTTCTTGTCATTCGCAACTAATAGCATACAATTGGATATTCATGTGATTAAAAATGAAATCATTAATTACTTTTTTAGCAACATTAGCTGTAGTAAATTGTTACGTAACAGATGTCTCGGAAATAAATGGTGTTTATAATTATCTCAATACTACAGGAGTTCTAGAAGCAGAGAGAATTAGAAAATTAGAATACGAACTTTCCAGTTCAGGACAAAGAATTGTTGGTGGGTCTCCGAGCAGTGGCGTGCCTAATCAGGTAATGTTTAAACCTCGTCATTGCTGATCATTACTTTTCTTTTATGGTTTTTACTTTTTTTTTATATGGTTAGATGTCTGTTTACCTCTGACGTATCTCTTTTTAAAACTCTTCTTAATTCCTTCTGAAAAATTTCCATAGGTTGGACTTATCGTTACATTGCCTGACGGACGTCAAGCGGTGTGCGGGGGTGTCATTTACGCTGACAACAGGATCCTGACAGCGGCACACTGCAACAATGACGGTGTTAACATCGCCCGCTCTGTCACGGTAGTCGCTGGTTCCAACTTCCTATTCTCTGGCGGTACCAGAATACAAGCAGAAAGCGTGGTCTTTCACACTGGATATGTTCCAGGAAATGTTGCATTCGATCTTGCTATTTTACGCATACCTAGACTTGATTATTCTGGTAAGTGGAATATCTCCAGCTATTTGTCTTTTGTAAAATGTAAAAAAAAATAGCAAATTGTATAATGAAATTATTATTGGTTTCGTTTACAGATAATATAAGTCCTGCATTCCTACCATGGGGTGACGATATGAACAATGACTTCGCAGGAGAATCTGTACGTGCGTCTGGATATGGCATCACTAGAGACGGTATGTGTGTAAATATCACTACAAACATTTCTTAGTATAAGTGCTGTTTCTTTATATTGAGAACTATCTTCGGATAAAATGAAACCCGTGTTTTCGGTGACAAAAACATGCGAAATATTAATTTTGTGTTAGGAGTCGCTTAGAAATTAAATGTGACGCACTTGCTAGTATATGTTTGCTTATGATGTAATTTTCTGATTAATATTCAAATACTCTCATTAACATTGCTATCAATTATATTATTACCAACAGGTGCCAGTATTAGTACACAACAACCGTTAACCAGTGTTAACCTACGAGTTATTTCGAATGCCGAATGTAGATCAACATACGGCAATGTAATACAAGATCATCATTTGTGCACAAGCGGCGCTGGCGGTGTTGGCATCTGTGCTGGTGACACTGGCGGTCCGCTCGTCATACCTGGTTCATGGAGAGATACTCTTGTAAGTATTTACTTCACTAACGAAGAGAAGGTCCTCGCTTTATATTTAAGAACCCATTTTACGCTCATCCATAACCTTGCAACTCTGGCAATGTTAAACCGTTCCTTGCCTGAAGGCGTCTTTCTAATTTCAACTACCTAAAATAGCATCTAACTATAAATCAATACTCAGTAGCAATTTTGCTCGATAACATATATTGTATAACATTTTCAGATTGGCGTTGGATCATTTACATCGGGTCGAGGGTGCCAGGCGGGCGCCCCTTCCGGTTTTATCAGGGTTACATCGTTCATTGGATGGATTATGGGAAATTGATTATATTATTCTATTAAAACTTGCGTTACATACTTTTTAAAGTAATGTTTAACTAAATCAAAATCACAAAATATAAATTATATCACTTATACACTTTCTGGTAAAATGTTAAGGCAACTTCACACAAATGCCCCGTCACGAGAAAAGCATTTCCACTTGCACAATAACTCTCAAATACGAAAACACACTTGGACTAGAATATTTAGTTTAGTTTCTTGCGATATAAATACAATTGTAATTGACATTGGCACATTAGCTGCCATTCTCTTGGGCGGTTTTTTGACGCGCGCTAAATTATCGTTAAAAAAACATTCATTTGTTCAAGAATCTATTCAACACTTTTAAGTCGTGCCGCCTTTTCATAGCACAGTATTGCTTTTTACGAGATTTTACTGCGTGTGTCATAGTTTTAACGCGGTGTTAAAAAAGCACCAGTGCGAATACGCTTTTAACAAACATGTCGATGTGTGTACACCCTAAAGATGTAACAGAAAATAAATAATTGAGGAAGTGAGTACAATGAAGATATGATGGATCTCACACCTCAATCAAATCGCTCTTCAAAGGGTAAATGTACATTTAAGTGGGCTGCGAAGTTTTCTTATAATTACATTTTTATGACGTCGACACTGGAACCCTAATGCCTTAGAAATGCGAATATAAAGAGGCGTCGAAGCGGTGATATTTACATTCTTTTATAACGCCCCATCATTTCTATATATTAAGGAAAATTCTTTGTGGAATATTTCAATACAAATGTAATTTCTGTCCTTATAACACTAATAATTACAATTTTATGTTATTGTTGGGCCAATATTCAATAAACTTTTTGTACTTTTTACACATAAATAAATTTAGTAAAAGTATTTATTCTACAGAGTTAAGGCAGGATGACACATATGGTAGCAGTTCCTCTCACACTTGGATGCAAGTTGCTGGCACGTGTCAGCTATTATAAATGCCAGTACGTACATGGCATGCAAGTGATTTTTGATTTTGAAACAGCAACGGGAGTCAAGGGAGGATAATTGGGATACTTAACACTGACATGACTTATCTCGTAAGGTGCCAGTAACTGGCAGCTACTACTTCATTACACTGGCATGTGTATTCCCGCTCTTGAACGAAAATAAAGGCAGGCGTAACAGAAGGATTTTTTTTAAAACATTGTAAAGTATTTTATTACGTTAACATTAAATAAATTTGCAAATCATTTATTACATAAACAATTACGTAACTAAACGGGTAGAATATTTTGATAAATTTATAAACACATTTCGCTCTGACCGTGATGGGCAATGACCGCGATCATAACTGTTCATGGTTGCACACACTAGGTACTGTCACGCACAATGTATTACAAATTTGTACCTTAACACAACAGAATAAAGGTCAATACAAAGCATACAGAGTTACGACGACAACTGTACGTCCAATCATTACGTTACAAGATATGAAGCGACTTACTTTCTCGACGGAGAAATGTGCGTTAGTAAATTCATATGACACAAAAACCTGTTAAAACAGATTTTACAAATCTTATCGCTTTTCTATTAGGTCTGTATGCCTATGAATATTATGACGTAGTTTCTAATACTCCTCATGTTTTGTCATTTTAGTTAAAATGAAAACCCTGGTGTTTCAGAAGTCGGGACGAAGCAAAACCGTTCGTTTCAAGCATTGTTTCAATCATTTACTTTGTATCGATCTACATAACAATCTTACTAATATTATAAACGCGTAAGTGTGGGTGGATGGATGTTTGTTAAAGTTTATTGCCTAAACTGCTGATCGGATATCGATGAGATTTGGCACAGATGTAGATAGCTTGGAAGATAACAATGGATTTTATAATTCTAAGCGGACGGAGTCACCGAGGAAAGCTAGTAAAGCATTATATTACGTATGTTAAAGGCTTTGTGAATAAAATTCCTTTGAATTTTATACTTCTTTGCTAAACAAATGTTGAAAATTTAGTGAATCTACATATTCGAGTTTATGTTCAGTATTGCCACGCTCGACTGCCTATGATATAAATTGCTTCCAGTCTGCGGAACAGAAACCCAGTATACATTAGCCCCTGTACAACGAAATAGAGGGCAAGGCGACATTTGATGTACTCTTACAATTGAAATAAGAATTGTTTATGTATTATCTGCTTAATGTAGTTGTAATGTTGCTATTTGTCTTAATTTTCTACCAAAAATACAGCTTTTTTTAAAATTGTAGATCATGGTTGAATAAATTCATTGACGTTCGATACAAGGCTATTCATATTTTTCCGTCGTATGTTACAGTAAGTAGCGTTTGCACGACTTCGTTAATCCTAGTCTATTTCTCGAACATTTAAAAAAACTACGGCGGTTACTTTCCATACGTCATCCAAACACTAAATATAACGTCACTGGTGTTTTTAAAAAAGTTAGATCATCAGTTAATAAAAATATTCTGATTTTTAATGGGCTGTTAGTTTTCAGGTTTTAAGCGTCACCGCGTTATGTGTTTGACTGTAAAAAAAAAATTACGTCAATGTCCTCTTGAATAATGTAAATTTTATTTACTTTAATCAATTTAATAATTTAATTTTAGTTATATTTATAAAACAAGTTAAAAGATAAAACTTACTATGGTTGTCTCGTCACGTTTACAAATAACGTATATACTATGTTAATCATAAATAACTAACGTTATTATACTATTGTAATAACAAATATCGTATGTTCTATGAAATACTGCAAATATTGAAAAATGTATTTAATCAAATAATAACTTTGATAATGTTTAAAACTGCAATACGATAATAAATCCATTCAAAAGTGATGCAGTTTTTCTGGCTGTCCGAGTCCGACTTGACCCCTCTTCGGTTTGTGAGACGGGAATGCGTAGGAACTCCCTACTCATAAGGGTGTACAGACTAAAAAAGTAAAAGAGGGTTGGACTGCCAGACATGGGCCAAAATATCGATTTATTTACTCAAACGATTCAGATTCAAACAGCAAGACAAATTGAATACATACCAGATTTAATCCCGGGCAATAAAAATAATTTTATAATATTAAAAACAATAAAAGAAACGGTTTTACCTCGATCCCTTAATTAGAACTATTACTTTATTGTTTTACTTAATTCCCAGACGTTAAATACATACAATTGTTTACGATAATAATGTTGAATATAAACTTGTCAAATGAACATCGGCGTGTTTGCTTTGCATTCAATATAAATGGACTTTGCACTAGCTAATTATAGGGACATAAATTGTATACGTGGCAATTCTGACAGTTATTGATAAAGCTTGGCTAACATAGAAGGATTTTTATTGCAAACTTATTCCCGAGAAAGTATTGCATTTTTTAAACATCTTGGTGTCTTAGAAGCATACAGAAGTATGTGCAGAACTCAATTTTAGTTATAGAAGGTGTAGAGGGATGTGAAAGGAAGTCAATGGAATATAAACAGCTCAAAGTTACCCACTTAAACCATTGAAATCATCATCTATGGATCACATCATCATAAAACACTATAAAAACACATAAAATGTCTACTAAGGAGTTTTTCCAGAGGGCCAGTGTGTGTACAAATGACCACGCTAATATCTTCTGTTATTAACATACAATGTATTCGTTATACATGTATCAATACTGGGTTACCGGAGCTAACCCAAATATTTAGGAAGTTACAATAGTTAGAATGAAGCAACCCTTTCACGTTACAAAATTTCTAGTTGATAGTACAAAACTTTAATGTGGATCGAAATTTATTGGTATTAACTAGTAAAGAAATAAGTGCCTTTACTAGATAAAATCTGCAAAGTGCACCTTATATTAATTACAAAATGACACACACCAAAATTAATTAAATAAGTGGAATATGTAAAAATACAAAATAAGGAATAATTAATGCTGCTCGTCTAGCGTCCCGTTCAGTTTACACCGCACGGCCGTGTGCGGCGCACGGTTGCTACGCGGCGCGAGGTCACGCGCTCGCTCATCGAATATTTTTAATTCTTACGAAACGATAACGTCAGCGTCAACATTACCTCATAGCATCTATAGTACTATTATTAACTACGCGAACCGGCATTCGGCAGTACCCACGCGGTAGCATCACAAACCGTATGAAAACTGCGGTAATATGATGAAGTACACAGCCCTCGCTTTCTACTTCATAGCGCCGTTATTAGCGAGCGGCTACAGAATATTGGGTATATTCCCCTCATTGGATCGCAACAACCATCTCACCTATCGCGGCCTGCTAAAAGAACTAGCCAATAGGAACCACGATGTGACTGTGATCAGTCATTTCCAATTGCCAAATTCGCCACCTTCTTATCATCATGTTCCTCTCAGCGATACGCAAGTTCTTAAAGGATTGTCCTTCGAGTCAGTGATAGCGAGTGAAATTTCGCGAGTGCCTTTCGAAACTCTTGTGTCAACGAAATCGGGCAACGATGATTGTAAAGTTTTGATGAACAATCACCAAGTGCTTCATATGTTAAGAACTCGACCACGATTTGATGTTATTATTGTGGAGTCTTACAACAGTGACTGTGGAATCGCGTTTGCAGCCAATCTGAGCGCTCCGTACATTTTGTTTAACCCTCAGCCAATACATCCTTGGCAGTACAACCGATTAGGGATCAACTTCAATTCAGCTTTCATACCACAATCGTTGCTGCCCTATGGAAAGAATCCATGGTTCTTTGACAGATTACGAAGTTATATATTGTATCATATAGCCAACTGGGTGTATTACATCGGATCCCAAGTGACAGACCACGTGTACCTCTACAAGTATCTAGGCGACGACTTGCCCTCGTTGGAGAGTTTCGCGTCAAACGCTAGCTTGGTGTTTGTAAACACGCATCAGTCAGTGTACGGAGGCTTCCCCAGACCTGATAACGTAATTGATATCGGTGGCATACATATTAGACCGCCTAAAATTATTCCAACGGTAAGTTCATTCTATTTTAATTTAAAAAAAATGTGTAAAATGCTCAATAAACTTCATTAGTTAGCAATATACTATCGAATATTAGGAA